GATTAATGTTTCAAGATATATTTTTCCAGACTTTTACTTCGACTTACCGATATTGTTTTATTTGAAATAAGTTTTGGTAGATAGAATATAGTATGGTCATATTTTTAGATCTCTGTCATTTTCTATCTTTTAACAGCTGTATTTAAATTCATTTAATGCAATTATTGTGTTGGACTTGTCTTCCATTTTGTTTCCTATTTGTTTTGTTTTTCTCATCACGTGAGAACACAGAAAGAAGACAGCAGTCCATGAACCAGAAAGTGAACTCTCACCAGAAACAGAATCAGCTGGTGCCATGATCTTGAACTTGCCAACCACTAGGACTACGAAAAATAAATGTTTGTAGTTTAAGCCATCTAGTCTATGCTATTTTTGTTACAGCAGCTCAAATAGACTGACTGTATAGTCCCTTGCTATATATAGTCATAAATGTATATATAATAAATGCATATATGTACATACATTATCCCTTAACACTTCCTCATTTATAATGAAATTGTCTTAAATAGTTTTCTCTACATACATTTAGAAACATATTAGACAGTATTACAATTTTTGCTTCACCTCTTAAACTTAATTCGAAAATGAGAAGAAAAATGTATTTTATTTATGCATATTTTTACTCTTTCCATTGTTCTTCCTTCCATTCTGATGTTCCAAGATGATTTCTTTCATAATTTTCTTTTTATCCTTTAGCTATTCATTTATGAGAAGGCTGCTGGTGAGAAATTCTTTTAATTCTCCTTCATCTAAGAATGTCATGGTTTCCTTTCATTTTCATTAGGTATTAATTTTACTGGATGTAGAATTATGGGTTGCTGCTTCTTTTCCTTCAGCACCTGAAAAATGCTTTGTCACTTCCTTCTGACCTGTGGCTTCTGATGAGAAATATGCTGTAATTTGAATTGCTTCACCAATATAAGTAATGTGTCATTTCTCTCACTGTTCTTAAGAATTTTCTTTGTTTTCAGAAGTTTGATGATAATGGGTCTTGGTATAGTTTTTAGAGGGATTTATCTTGTTTGAGTCCACTCAGCTTCTCTGTAAATTTCTTTGGCCAAATTTGGGGATTTTGATCTTCAAGTACTTTTTCAGGCCTACTCACTTTCAATTCTCCTGGGATTCCGATGGCACAAATACTAAATCTTCTGTTACTGTCCAAAGGCCCCTAAAGCTCTGTTCAAATTTTATGCAGTTTAATTTTTCTCTGTTGTTCAGAAGGGTAATTTCTATTTTCTATCCTAAAGTTTACTGATTCTTTCCTCTCTCCTTTCCATTCTGTTGTTAAATCCATCTACTGAGCTTTTTATTTTGCCTATTGTTTTTCCATTCTAAAATGTCCACTTTTTGTCTTTTTTTGCTTTCCTGAGGCTTATTTTGTGCTGAAACTTTCTATTTTTCCATTTGTTTCAAGCATATTTATAACTGCTCAATATAAATAAAGCATATTTATATTGCCCATGATGGCTGCTTTGAAATCTTTGTCAGATTATTCTAACATATCTGTTATCCTGGTGGCATCTACTGGTTATCTTATTCACTCAATTTGAGATTTTTCAAATTTATGGTATAACAAGGGAATTTTTATTAAAATCTGAATATTGGATTATTATGTATAGCATTCCAGAACTTATTTAAACCTTATATTTTAGTCGACTTTCCCTGAAGCTGCTCAAACAGAGGGTTACTTCTCAGTGGGGGTTAAAGTCCAGGGTCCCCATTTGGCCTACACTGACACCCAAGGGAGTGAGAAGCTCCTTGTTACAGCTGAGTGGAGATGGGAGTTCCGGCTTCCCACTGGATCTCTGCTGATACCAGTTTGGCTGTGAAGGGTGGGAATATCTCATTACTGCTTCCAACTTGGTTCCACTGACTCTACGGGGGAGGGGGAGACTCTTTACCATTGGATGGTGGCAAAGTCCTGACTTTCCACCAAACCACTTTTAATACCATCTTAATAGGTAGGAGGCAGCTGCCTCGTTACTGCCAGGGCAGAGTGAGAGTCCAGGCTTTCCCCCACATGGCCTCCACTGAGTCCACATGGAGAAAGAGGGAGTGCTCGATACTGCCTGGCTACAATCAAAGTCGCAGCTCTTGCTGAGCCTTTTTTGACACCACCCCAGCAAGGAGGTTTGGGCTCCTAGTTACAACCTGTGGAGGATAGAAGACTAAGCTCCCCATCTGACCTTTGCTGCTGGGAGGGGCCACAGAATTTTCTGTGTTGTTGGCCAGAGTCCAGCAGTTATTGAATAAAAGCTTTCTGTCTTGTAGGCTGCCCTTTTCCTGGTCCTTTGGCTAGAGAGAGCAGGCTTTTATAAGGCCTTTTTTTTTTTTTTACTCTCCCTACTGGTTTCTGGGTTACTGGTTTTGTCTCCCTACTGGTGTTTCTGGGTTACTGGTTTCTTCAGCTCCACGTTTGGGATATAAGAGGTAAAAAGAAAACTCAGGGAACTCACCACCTATATTCCTTTGATCTCAAGCCCCCTTGCTGGTCTGTCTTTTTTCCTCTTTTCGAAGTCTTATATTTGTTTTCTACATAATGTCCAGAGTGATTGTTAGTCCATGTTTGGTTTTTAATGTTCTTTTAAATTCTAGCATTTCTCAGATTTCTCATAAACTGTAAATATTCACACATATACATAGAACAAGGTACATCTAATTTCACAGAAATTTAACTTTGCTATCCAAAGTAAGATATTGTAAGATGAAGTTCTTTAGAATAAAGGACACCTGAAAACTCATTAACCTAGATATATAACTGAGGCTAAAATATAAATGTTGTGTACCTAATAACTTAATACCTATGGCTGCTGACCAAACCCTGTAATTGTCATAAGCCATACTTTTGAATAATTTTTCTATTAAACATTAGGCCAGTGTTTAAACGAAACATTAGCATCAGTTAAAAGCTAAATTAGGTTATGGAAGTAAGCAAATCACTGTATTCTCCTGTAAGTGAGCCAGAGTCTTGGGTCTTCACTAACCATCAAAATAACCAGCTTTCTTTTTTTCAGATTTATGAAGTGTTTACAAAAATGGTACATTCTCTTCCAAGAATTTGAGTTTTACATATTACTCTGTATCAGGAATTCCTGTGATACTTACTTCTGCTCAATACAATTTTTTCTTACTAATGAACATAATCTCAAAGGCAATTTATTGCAAAAGCTGAGTACAAAATCCTAAGCTTACAGCTGACATCCATTTTTATAACAAGGTTTAAACTCTGTAATAACCAAACGATGATGAAAATGGTAACAATAACGATAATGCTCACTCATTAGTACTAGCCCAAATACCTTACATCCATTATCTCTTCTAATTCTCATGACGATCTGACAGTGCAGGTATGATTCATAACGTTCATGTCCTTTCTGAGATGCAAAGAGGTAAACTCAAGTTCCCAAGGTCACACAACTAGTAAGTGGTAGAAACAACATGACTTTTTAGGTGACCCCTTAACCACTATACTTCCCCAACTCTCAGAGGAGGGAAAAAAACACACTACATCTTCCATTCTCATCTTTAATAAGCATTTGTTGTTAACATGAAGGCAGAAACGTGGCCTGCTCCCTCCTTCTGGGAGGAAAATTACACAGGAGCTCTAGTTCGCTTACATCAGATTTCTTAGGTCGGTTTTGAAAGAGAGTGTTCTGAGACCCAAATCTTTTCCTTCACTCCCACCTCTTTAGGAAAATTATATTTTCTTATCTTCACTGATTTTCCAATTATGAAATATATGTTCATGTATATTTTTGAATGGAAATACACATTCAAGCTACACAGAAATGTATAATGTAGTTAAAAAAATTTTTAAATTCCTTAGTTAAATTCAAGTGTTAAGATACTTTCGGAATTTTGCTACATATAGAACTACATCTACATATTCACAGAAAAATGTACACATATAATACACGTGTGTGTATATATCCATATATTTTAATAAAATGAGATATTTCATATATTGTTTTGCAATGCCCCCCCTTTGTTATTTTTCACTGAACAGCAGACCTTCAACTTTAACCTGATTGAGTATAATAGATTTATCTATGTTTTTATTTATTTTGTAGCTTAATTAGCCATTTTGTTTTTCCTTTTTAGTGGTATACAAAACTATGGTGAATCTTAATAGATAATCTTAATAATAGAGCCAAAGTACAGCATTTTAAAAATGGACTATTATTGGTTAGGAAATTATATTATCTTAATTTTTTTCAGTATAGTTTCAATTATATGTATTTTTTCCTGTTCAGTAAAGATTATTTATTAAATGTTTAACTATATGATATTATTATAATTCTAAAAGACTTTTTATATTTATATATTCTCAAACTTCAATCCACATGCCTTGCACCATATAAAAAAATAACTAAAAATAGATTGTAGACCTAAATGCAAAATGTAAGCTATAAAACTTCTAAAAAAAAAATTAGACTGCTTTATGACTTTGAGTTAAATGGAGATTTCTTAGCTACTACACTAAAAGCACAATCCACAACGGAAAAAACTTGATAAATTAGACTTCATAAAAATTAAGAATTTCCAGCTTTTTACAAGACACAGACAATGAAAAGAAAACTCTGACTTGGAGAAAATGTTTGCAAGTCATAGATATGATAAGAGAACTGTATCCAGAATATACGAACTCTAACAACTCAACAAAAAGAAAACTGCAACCTAATTAAGAAAAGATAAGCAAAAGATTTACCTGTTTTTAATGGCTAAATATATTCTTTATGTATTATACCATAATTTATATGTACACCATAACTTAGTTGTCTAACTCTTTGGGGAAATTATTAACCTTATGTTTTCTCAAGCTATTCAGGCTCAATGATTTAGATAACATGCTAATTGCATTTTTTATACAAAGCTTGTTGTAGGTGAATATTATCAGTGTGGGGTCAATCCTTTTATATTTAATCTACATCTAGAAGAAAGGGAAAGAAAGAGAATAAAAGAAAGGGAGAGATTCAGGTAGAAAAAATGGTATACTTTACTCTATAAAATAGACTTCTCCATTTTCGGTATAGGCCATCTCCCAGTTTTCAGGTAGAGGACCTAAATTATCCTCTGCAGAAAGAGGTAGGTATTGAGGGAACTTCTGAGAAGCGTCCGTGATGGGAGCAGCGATGATGCTACTATTCACAGGCGGTAGCGTTGTTTCTTGGAGACTGTGCTCTTCTTGATCACCAGAATCGGCTATTTATTTATTGGAGAAAAAAAAAAAATCAATCATACGCGAAACTGGGCTACTAGGCCAAGTACTGTATGGATCTATGTTCTTAAAAAGCCCTCATCATTTCCTAATTTCTGACCATTGACTATATTGTTTTATTTAGATAAAAGTTCTTTCAATGAAAAACATCAAAATGATGAACCAAATTTATTTTAGCTAAAAAGAAAGAAGAGAAAAACAGTTCAAATAATGCATTGCTCACAATCTTAGAAATGTCAAAGAAGAAACAAATTTATGACTCAAACCCTAAAGTTTCTTAAACTAAGAAGGTCATCAAAACACAGACTGAGCTGTACTCTTATTCCAGAGGTATCATTTGGTTTTATGACTC